CCCCCCCCCCCCCCCCCCCCATTACATTCCGATAAAAAGTAGAGATGTCTCACAAAGTTCGCATGTTCCTCATTACTTGATTATTGCGCAGACGAAGGTGTGCTAGTTTCATACATTGAATTTTCTCCTCTCATGAAGATGTTCAAGGAGCCGGGAAAAGGGAAGAAAAGCGAACCTTGCTCAGCCTTTGTGTTAGCTTCTTTTCATCAATGTGAAGGTAGAACTGTATGAGATATACAATTGAACTATTCACTCAAGTTCCTCCTTTTGTAGCTTCTTTCTGTCTGCTTTAAGACCATTTTTAAATATTCCCTGCTTCGATTTTGTCTGCTTGAGCGCTGGCGTGTCAATGTATGTATGTGTGTATTGTATGTGAGTAACTGTGTATCTGTCGATGGTTCGGTGTGGCGGCGTGTTTCTGGCCTGAAATTGATAATTTCGCTTCCCATCAGCCCGAAGCGTCCTTCGAAGGTGTGAAGGAAGTGAGATGGGAACGCTGAAGGTAGTTTTTAGGAGTAGGCTGTTCACACGGGCGTGGCAGGGCAAAATCATCGTTATCGCAGTACAAATACTCCGCAAAATGGAATAAGTAGAATTAACCCAGTATACGTAAACAAAGCATGCCCCAGGCATGAGTGTGAATATCTGTGTGCTATTTGACTGGAAAATCAACTAGTATCCCCATACATTAGAGCGTTCAAATGCTGAGAGTATAAGGGCAGGCGGATGAGTTCGTTATTTAATTATTTAGTTATTCGCTTCCTTCACATGTAGACTCGAACTGCAAAGGACTTGAAGACGTGTGTACTACAAATGTAGAGATCGATAAGGTCAACTGCTTTTGATTAGTGTCGATTTGTAGTACTAGGTATGTACTAGGTCATCGCTTTTTGTTGAGCCGGAAAGAGGAGGAATGGACACGTTAGTGAGGTTCTAATTCCGACGCAAAAAGAAAACATTAACGTCGGAACTAGATTAGTGGACCAAAATCCGGTAAACACCTTATAGCTTTCAAAGTAAAGCTCACCTACGCAGATGACACCCTTCTGTTAGAACAAGCGTAACTTCAACCAATCTGTGCGTCTTCCCAGCGCACATGAAGAATGATGTTCCATAACAATGAGTTTTTGATGTATGAGATCCAACAAGAAATATTAAAGCATAGATTACAAGGCTAAACGAATTTAGCGACAAATATGCTTTGTACATTTAGGGTAAAATCGAATGAAATGAGAAGTCGTTCTCACAGGAAAGTGAAACGTGTGTTTCATTCTCTCATCTAACGATACTTAGTATACTCGTTCGCAGCTCATTTTTTAAGGACGTGGTAATGAAATCTGGTGAGAGCCTCAAATTCGTGGGTGGAGTTAGCGTGGGCCTGGACGTGGCAAGAGAAAATCTTTATGATGGTGCTCTTATGAATGGAGATATGGCCTCCTTCTTCATCGTACACTATATTCCTCATGCCTTGCTACCAAGCAATTGGTCGAAGTCTGTTCCCCAGTTAGAAAATTTTACATGTGAACTGATTCGACATCGATATTTTTCAGAAGGAATAAAGTGTATTTTGCCAATAGCGACTTGTATCCAATGGTCAGCCGTAAGTGCCGCAATAGTTTACTTCAGGGAGAAGAGATGACTGCTGAGAAGGTTGCAGAAAATCGTTTTCCGAATTGTTATCTTATTTATGCTTCTTACCATTACCATTCATCTGCAGGTGAAGGAACTCTTCTTATCAAGAAAGGGCGCAATACCATCGTACCTGCAGAAGCTTATGGAAGCAGAACTTTCTGTTATTCCGATATTCTGGGAGAATCATTGGTCAAAATTATTCTTATCTGCTGAAAGTTTGATTCTGTTGATTATTTAGAAAGGAGCAGTTCATTGTAGAGTATGAGATTTTGCATTGAGATATGAGCACCCTTTCCTCATTGTATTTTGTAATGCAAGTTGTTTGTTTCAGGATGTTGGGATTGCTTCAAATGTACGCTCCTACGAAGGTTTGTTCTTGATTCCAGTATATTCACATTGCGCTCAGTCCTTCATATATTGAATTTGATCATAACTAGCTCTAACTACAACTTCTTATCAACAACTTGATTGCATCCAGCACTCGACTAAAAACCTCCTTATGGGCAAGTCAAATGACATCACTCTTCCTACTTTCGCACTGCTTTCCATGCTAGTAAATTTGTTGTACAGGGGGATAATTGGTTGCTCGTTGTCGGCCGGCGATCTTCTCGCTGCAGAACGGCCAAGCGCGGGCTCAACGTACTAGGGTACTAGAACGCAAGTGGTCAACCGATCGACCACTCACAGGCGTGATCCACCAGATGTGAGTCAACACAACACACCGGAGAAACGGGAAGACAACTGGCTGTAATAATAACAGATCACACGATAGTATGGGGCGCGACAGCTTGATGACTGCGCTTAGTCGGCATAGGCAGAACTGAAGAGCACAACGGCAACAGGAAGTAAAGTGCACGATATTAGCGCAGGACCCAGAGAGTTCAGCAAGAAAGGCAATCGAGGCGGGCGCCCTGGATTTTCCAAAGAAATCTAAAATAAACGGTAGAGAGGAGTGCCCGGATAGCTAATTGTTTTTTGACGTATATACTGCACGGCGACATTTGATTCAGTAGCAAAATAACGTGATTTTCCTTATCAACTTCAAGAGACAGCAAGAAGTCTCATTCGCTACTGACAGTCGCTTGCAGCGGCAGATGATTTTTATATCCGCTTGAGCGGTGGAACCATGGTCAGCTATGCATCGCATCGAATTATGGGTTCTGAGTTCGTCGTCACATTCACCAGAGGGGAATGCGCTTTTTGATTGCTGTGCAAATCACCTCAAACGCTTTAGGCCTCAAGACGATATCTTCGGAATGTTAGACCATTGGTTCGATTGATTGCTCCACCTAAAAGCCTCGCACAGCCCAAGTTTAGCGTTGACGTCTTGCTCTCCATCCACGTCTGCGTATGCGTAGCAGTGTGCGGACAATACCGTAGAGCCGAACAGGTCAGCTGTACCGATACGAGCTGAGTCGCCTCTTCGATGATTCCCACCGCCGCCCACGCGTGTCTCTTGCACCTCATAATCTCTGCGTGTGAATTGTTGTTCATGGAGGTGAGTCGTCCAAGACACAGTAGTCGGTGAACGGTAGTGTGGCGTCCGTGATTGTGTTGTGTGGCGCACCCGCCTATTTGTTTTGCGTGGCCATTGTCTTCCTTCGCTTCATCTTGATGAGCTAGCTGCCTGATGACGGTGTAGGACCCCGACTTCAAAAGTCCACTAAGTTGCAGTCCGGTCAGGGTGCCTTTCTCTGTTCCATTTCACACAGGGCTGTTCTACCACCGAATATTCTATCCGCAGAACCACCTCTTGTGTTGGATATATATGGTTCGCTTCCGTCGAACGGGATAGGCCCGTGTACCTGTAAATATTAATTCTGCCTTATCCCGACGAATCCCAACCGTGAAGGATTTGTAATGTTAGCTGAAAGGTGGTAGGCAGAACAATCAGAGGGTCCTCTCGGCTTTTTTGATATTAACCTTCTGCAGAGCTCCGCATTTAAGGGAAAACCGGCTCAATTGACAATAATTACCTCTGGACTGAGAAATACACTGATTGATAAGAGGTGTTGATTCAGTTGTCAAACAATATAGTAGCCGACGACAATTTCCTCAGTCTCTGTTATCGGTGTTTGCGGTTTGCCCATCGCGTCCCTCATGAGCGAGCGTGACCGAGTGTGATGAGCGAGCGGGAGTGAGTAGTGTTTTGACGAAATCGTTCAAGGCTCGCTCTCTCTTCTTCCTTTAATTGAATGTCTTTTTATTACTGCATTGATTTCTTCACAGCATTGGGCATGCATTGTTCATCAAAGCACGTTCCAGTGGCATGGATGCAGAGTTACGATGAACTAGCCCGCAACCAAAGGGGTGACCACCCCATGTCGCTTTTCATGGGTTGGGTTGAAAGTGGTCCAGTCTTTGAAGTTTCGATTGGAAGCCAATTTGTGCCTCGACAAACCTATAATCGCTTCCGGTGCTGAATGCACCGGCCACACTGAAGTGTAGCAAACCTCACTTTCTTCTACAGGGTGCGACAAATGTTCTGGCAAAGGCCCGCTTCAGGTTCTCGATAAAAAATTAGGCCTTCGATTTCGACACGATCTGTGCCATTACTTACTGTAGGTCCTCTTCTATACACTCCATAAATTGGCCGTTCTTCAATATGGCATTTTACAAAATGGTGACAAGCAAAGTCCAGCGAGCCTCCATCCTGCACCTCCATCTGGCTGGATGCACGGCAAAGACCATCTTCAAACAGCTCTAAATCCCTTTGGAACCATGTGCAACAACGTCAACAGGTACAAGGCGACAGGAACTATGGAGGACAAGCCCAAAAGTGGAAGACTGAAGAGAGCAACGACAAAAGAGATCGTGAAGATCATTCGAGAAAAATTCCGCCGCCACCCCCGTAGGTCCGAGAGAAAGTTGGCTTTTGAGGTAGGTATTTCTGCTCGATCTGTTGAAAAGATTGTCACCAGCCACCTCCGACTGCGCTGTTATAAGAATAGAAAAGCGTACATGCGTTAAGAAAACTAGGCTCAAAAGATGTAAGGAGCTTTCAGAGCGATTTTCGTAGGCACGGCACACCAACATAATTTTCACTATCGAATGTCTGTTTTCAACAGATCAATTCCTGAACACCCAAACGATGGGGTGATAGCGGGAAGCCCTGCAAAACCAGCCGACATGGGGGGATTGCTCAGCGATCTGTACACCACAAGTCGTTGATGGTTTTTGGGGCAATCACATCGGACGGCAAGTTGCCCCTGATTTTCTAGGAGAAAGGGGTCAAGGTGGATAGCAAGACCAACTTAAAAGGCGTTTTGGAGAAGGAGGAACTCTCCTGAGCAAAATCCCATTTCGGCAACCGGACATGTCCTTATCAACAGAACTCAGCTCCAGCCTAATCCATTGAACTATTCCGTGTGGTCAGTTTTCAAGACGAAAGCCTGCTCTACTAAGCATAGACGTTTGGATGCTCTACGTGCAAGCCTTATTGAAGCATGGGGGGATTCGGACGTAGACTACCTCCGTGCCGCCGTCGACGCATTTCCAAGGAGACTTTCGGCCTGTATTCGCGCAGAGGCTATTTCGAAATCTAGTTTGTTGTTGTGATCTATATAGCTGCTAATAGATGCTGTTGGAGTTGTATCACGTATCGATCGATTGGCCATTTTTACAATCATATTTAACGTTGCCAAAACTTTTGCCGCTCCCTGTAGTAAGAACGTGTTTGATTCCACTGCTATTCGCTGCGTTGGGCTCTCCGACGTCCGTCAGCCTGAGTAGAGGCTGTTTCCGTGGAGGGCATTGCGCTGTTTCAAAAAGTATCGAAGTTTCTCCGCTTTCGTTCTCTTCTCCGGTTTCATATGGTCCAATGCGCGCTCTCGATGATTTTTCTCGTGAAAGACTGTGTTTAAGTTTCCAGCGACGTGCTTCCAGTATGAGCGCATGTTCTTTGTAACCTTCCCAGTTAGAACTGCCCTTTCCTCCGTCGGTTGCTGTTGACGTTGGCGGGTAACAGTTACCAATGTTGATAGTGGTACGCTTGCCAGCGCATGGCGGAGAATGTCTAGTCGCGGGCCGAATACGTCTTTTAAGTCGACCAAATGCTCGATTCTATAATATTATCGACTAGGGATCCGACGCTGCAGACATTTCCTCAATTCCCGTCGGCTGCTTGGTCGACTAGGTGGTCGTCATCTGCACCAATCCAGACACTCTGTATGTGTTGTAGCTGATCTATCAATCCGCGGATAGCTAGCCCATTCAGACGGTGATTACCTCTACTGCTAGCAAGACTCTCGCCGCTCCGAGGCCAGTGGTGGGACTTGTAGGGGAGAGGGATTTTTTGCTTGATAGCTATTGAAACTGATCCGCGTACAATTCTACTAGTTCTGTGATACTCTATAGAAAGAGCCCTCACCGACGTCATTGGATTGGATTAGAGTTCGACAAAAGAAAGTTTATATTGAAAAAACAGTATTAATTAATGCCAAGGAAGCATACAACAACTTCTACGATTTGAATGAGAGACACAACCTGCAATTTGGATCTAGATCCAACCAGTACGCTATACGGTGTTCGAATCACTGTTCGCCAAATTTATTCCCCTCCCCTCGAGAGCTGCCACTATTTCGCACCTGCGACATTCTCCATTGTGGAAATACATATGAGGTCATATGATTTCCCGACGTTCGCTTCGATCGCAAAAAAATACACATGGGGGAGATCACAACAGTTGAATACAAGTTTATGGTCAAACTCGGTGGGAATCCGTATTCGCCGAAACTTTCTCGATTTGGAGTCTGTCAGTGTAAAATCGCCTGGAACTTTAAAATATAAGAGGAAAGAAGTCAAGCCTGTAACAACCAAGTGACCCTAGAGGCAACATGATAGTTTGAAGCGCGATTCGCGCGGCTTGTATAGTCAACTCACTAGGAAAAATTCTGATAATTGGGGAAGTGATATCTGTCGGGAAAGGGCACAGTGAGTGAAAGTCAAGTTTATGCTCAGAGGCATATTTCCCCATAAATTTGCGGTACGCTTTTTAGGAGGAAAGCGGAAGTATTGGTTGGAAAGAAAGCATCTTGGGCGAAAGGGAGCGAGAAGATCCTAGCCTCGTAGGGAAGAAGGCTCTCGAAAAATAGGGAAAGTAGATATCGTAGAGAGCGTTTCAGTAGTATACTCCCACACTTCATTTTGACAAAAACTTCTGAAAGGTTTCGCCCTAATTTAGCAGCCCACATCAGATTCGTGACTAGAACAGTGAATAACATCTCTCCAGACAGGCAAGTCGACAAGAAATACTTTTAGAATCGTTTTTCTAAACTTCGTCTTTTTCACTAATATAATTACGCCCCTGATATATAACTCGAGAAAAGTTTTCGTATTTTATTGGGGTATACCTCCAAAAACCAAAATCAAAGGCGATGTGTCTTCCTGCGATGCCGCATGGTCTTCATTTCTCTGCAGAAAAGAAGATCCAGATTCGAGCTCTCCACGAACTAAACTCAGTAATAGACGCATTGCCAGCCAAATCGGCAGGACTCACTGTGTGGTTTGCCTCTACCTTCCTGAATTCTGTAGCCTGGGGACGTCAACACAAGTTGTTAAGCAGAGATGAACGAGGAATATGGAGGAGGACTTCGAACAGCATCGTCAACCAGATCTGTACAGGCTTGAAACTCTGCGTCGGAAACCACCGTTTGGAGAGCTATCCAACGCAGCGGCAACATTGTGAGAGAAGTTATGAGGAAGATGTCACGCCTAACCAACCTACACAAAATGGCTCGCCTCGATTCTGCTCGAAAGAACGCGACCACGGATTGGAAACAGGTCCAGTCGTGAAGCGAGGTATAGCTGGTGCACTATAATGTAATTTGAAGTGTTCAGGTAATGTTCTCCGACGAGAAAAAGTTCAACCTGGACGGATCCGGTAGAGCAAGGTGTTATTGCCGTTATCTGGGAAAGGACCCAGTGCAGTTCAGCAGACGAGACCTCGGCGTCGGTTCTCTGAGGTTTGAGGAGTCTTCTGCTGGAATAGCAAGCTGGACTCGCATTTGTATCCTGTCAAGGCACTCGCAAGAGTACCAGCAATTTTTGGAGCTCAAGTTATTGCCGTTTCTGAGCCGCAGGCAACGACAAAGACTGGTCTTCCAGCAGTGCAATGCAAGTGCCCATGCTTGCTGATCATGGTTGCAGCAACAGAAAGTTGGTGTTATGGAGTGGCCTGCATGCAATCCTGATCTGAACTCAACGGAGAACCCTTGGTTGATAATTGTGCGACGGGTGTACGCCAACCAGTTTTCCACCATCGATGGGCTGCAAAGTGCGGTCGTGGAGGCGTGGAGAAACACTTGACAATGAGCAGCCGCATCGACTCGTGGAGCTCTCATTCAAACAGGGTGCACCAATTAATTTTCGATTTTCATGAAGTACACTGTTGAGTTTGTATAAATAAGCTGTTAATAAGTGGACGTGTAATATGAAACCGTCGAAACTCGGGAAATACCTATAAGACATTTCTTTGTAAACTTGAAAATCTGAAAACCTTATCTCCATTGTATTCTAATGCAGCAGATTGCCTATGCATGCTTGTAATTTGGATCACACTTTCCGCAAGCTCGAAGCCGGTGGCAGTTGTAGCCCCACACAGGGCGAATTTATTTGTTGTAGCCAGGCACTCGTCTTTCCCTCTTAATTTTGAGGTTTTTAGGACCAGTCTAGAATGCTTTCGAAGTTTCGCGCGCCGAGCTCGTGGCCTCCCGCATCAAAGTCCTGACTGGCACCTCAAACTACATACCTTTTCGTGGCATTGCCTATGATGGTCTCCCAGGAGGGTTTCAGACCTTGATTTCTTCAGACCAACTAGGTGTTGCTTAACCCTACATGTTAAAGGCTGCCCGACCTCACCTATGTATTCGTCACCGCTGGACTCGCATATGATCGAGTGTATTACTCCTAACGCCCCCTCTCGCTCCTTTTGGGGGGAGGCGGGGGGGATAATGCAGAGGCAGTCATACAAACGGTTTTGAACCAGCCTTTTCCTGAGATTTCTAGGAGGAACCTCGACCACCGGCACCATGTGTGAAAACAACTATTCTACAAAGGGTACCCATTAGTGATTGCAGAGTTATAGTATCTTGGATGAGGCTTTGCAGGAACACCTTTATGTCCGATAGTGTATCTTTTGTTGGTTGTGGTATACGAGGGACATATTTGATTCGCATGTCATCGCTTCACTGCTTCCTTACCACAACATTGTACACTACAAGTCCATTTCAAGTGAAAACTTCTGTGGGATTCCACTTCTTTCTTCTCCTTTGAAAATCCATAGCGCAGACAGCATCACTAGTTTAGCAGATTTTGGACGGGTGTGGTGGTGGTTGTCTTCTACTTTGTTTCTGTCTGTCTTTCTGTCTTTTTGTTCCATGCTGCAGTTTCGTATCAAGGCATATGTAGTAAACAGTGTTAGTGTTGTACGTGTCGGTGTCCTGAGAAGTTCTCTGTTGGTGATTACCCTTTGGGAGAGGAATGCACCAGGTGCTCCGATACCCGATAATACATGAAGAATGAGGAATTTCTGTGTAACTTCTGTCATTGTTTCGGAGTTTTCTAGCCTTCCCAGTTTGGCCTTCGCATACCACGTGCTGCACATGGTGCAGCACACACTTTTGTCTCTGTGCGCGTTTGTCTCTGTGTGCGTTTTGGTCCAAAATCACTCTAGGGGTTGAATAAAGTACGAACAGTACATACCTTGCAATTCGCTCAAATTGCCGCTCCGTCTGACCGCGTGCTGCACGATGAGAGTCACGTCGCCCCTCGATTATGAAGAAAGCGCCAAACATACGCGCCTGGCAGCGCAAAAACACTACGGTACGCAATGGGCTGAAAGTGCCCACGAGTATTTCAGCTTAACTGTGCATTGTGAATGGAAGGGAGGGGAGCTGAAGTGGGAGCCGAATACTATTTACTTTGCAGAATTCCGTTTATTCCATCGAGATGAACTGACTCCCGTTTTCAGAAACTAGGCTTTCGTGGGTGGTATCCCTACTGCGAACTACAAGGGTTGCCCTTTATATTTCGGAATTGAGCAACCCGGTTTCGGCTGGCATGGCTAATTGCCTTCTCTGAACCATGTAGGACGCTTCAACGGCGTAGTCGGAAGCATCCGCTGCCCTAATAAGGTCCCCCTTATAGTCATGCGGGTGTGCGGAGGTGACAAGGGCAGGATTTCTTTGTCTTTTTCGGCAGCGGTTAGGTATCCTGAGAACACTGAAAGAGTAAATAATTTCAATCAGTGCATCGAATGAGGCTCAAAGTTGGCGCGGAATGGATGTTCCGTAGTAATTGATCAGTCGAAGAAGAGAGCGGTGTTGCGCGATGTTATTCTGTCTACAGGGTGCGCCATAAATATGTCAACAACTTTTCGGACCTCCGTAATTTTCTTGTTTGGAGGGTTGCTCCCAATCTGCACCTTTCCTTATGTTTAAAGATACCTCAGGATAGATATCTACTTTGGTGCTCTCAAGTTGCCACATTCCGAAAAACGGAGGAGCCTAACCGTTATGTATTTACGCCATTTGGTGAATCCTTTTCTGAGATCGCTCCTCGTTTCAACATTTCTCACATGACAGTCTCTTGTATCGCGACGCGTAGACAGGTCAACGACAAACCTCAGAATGGCCATCCTGTCTCACATACTACCCCTTTTCCGAACACAGTTGCTTGGGAAAGAGTACGCTGCGGAACCGGCAGAAACACAAGAAAAATGACTGCTGATTTGTTTGTGTGTTCTACTCCGATGAGAAGAGTCTACCCCGACTGAATACATTGTACTCACAATCAGATAGGATTCGGGAGCTTTATGCTCCAAGACGTGTAGAAGTTGGAGAGAAAAAACAAATGCAGTGCGCTACACGCGCTTCGCCACACTTGCCACTGACTAAAGCGCGTTCAGCGTGGGAGAAATGTTGAGATCCCAGAGCATACGTATATTTCACATTACGAGTGCTTAAGTCGCTAAGAAATATTAGATCGCCTCGTAGCTGTTTCCCCTCTTTTATGATGGTTTGAGGTGGGATCTCTGCCATCATAGCGATATCGCAAATTTTTGACAAGCAAAGCACGAAATTCAATACGAACCTCTTTAACAAGGGTTTTTCTGAGAGGATGCTTCTGAGGGTCAAAGATTTTTCTAGGGATACATTTTGGAAACTACGGCGCACTCGCTCACGAGTGGGAAAAGATTAAGGCTTGAGGAAATGTTCGCGAACTCAGCCAAGCTCCCAATTTCCCAGACCACAGGAGCAGCAAAAGCTCTAACAACGGTAAACATTCCCGTAAAACGGTCAATCGATCGATACATGATATGACTTCAACAGCATTTATCAACAGCTTTATATATCACAAAGCAAACTAGATCTCAAAATCCTTTACGTGAATACAGGCTGAAAGTCTCCTAAGAAACGCGTCGATGCCGGCACGGAGGTGGTCTTCGTCCAAATCCATCAAGCTTTGATGAGGGTTGCACGTAGAGCATCCGAACTTCTATGCTGAGTAGAGCAGGCTTTCGTTTTGAGAGCTGACCACACTGAGTAGTCCAAGGATTTGAACCTGGACTGTTTGGGGGCAATCGTTCGGCAAGATGTAGTCTGGCAAGTGCGTTGCACTGGACCTGTGTGCTGGAGCTGAGTCCTGTTGATAAGCCCATGTCCTGTTGCCGAAATGGGATTCTGCTCAGAGGAGCAACTCCTACAACGCGCCTTCTAAGTAGGTCTTGCCGTCCACCTTGACCCATTTCTCAGAGGAAATCAGGGGCGTCTTGCCGTCCGATGTGATTGCCCCAAAAACCGTCAACGACTTGGGGTGTCTAGATCGCTGAGCAATCCCTCCGTGATGGCTGGCCTCTACAGCGCTTCCCGTTATCATCCCATCGTTTCGGGTGTTCAGGAATTGACCTATTGGAAACCGACATTCGTCAGTAAAAAGGATCTTGCTGTGCCGTGCCTGCGAAATTCAGCTCTATACATCTTTCGAGCCAAGTTTTCTCATACGCTCAGTCAGCATTTGAGCTTTTCTGATCTTATAAGAGTGAATGCGAAGGTCGCTAGGGACAATACTTCCGACAGATCGAGCAGAAATACCCAACTCAAGAGCCATTTTTCTCTCAGACCTACGCGGGTGACGGCGGATTTTCTCTCGAGTAATTTTCACGATCTCCTTTGTCATTGCACTCTTCCACTTTTAGGCTTGTCCTCCATAGTTCCTGCCTCCTTGTACCTGGTGACGTTGATGTACACGGTTCGTAAGGAAATCTGGAGTTGCTAGGGGATTGTCTTTGCTGTGCATCTAGCCAGATGGAGGTACAGGATGGAGGCTCGTTGGTCTTTGGTTGTCACCATTTTGTAAAATGCCATATTGAAGAATGGCCAATTTATGGAATGTATAGAAGAGGACTTGCAGTAAGTAATGGCACAGATCGTGTCGAAATCGAAGGAATAATTTTTTATCGAGAACCAGAAGCGGGCCTTTGCCAGAACTTTTGCCGCACCCTGTACAATACATATAATGGGTCGCTGGATATAGTCCACTCTGGAAAGGAAAGCTGCGTCTCAAAACGACCCTTGCCATTACTTCTAAGAAATCATTGAAAAAGCCCGAGCTGGAGTTTCTCAAGAAACTCTGTGTGCCACCATCGATAAGCGTCGAAGCGTCTTCGAGCTATAATTACTAGTACAGGAGCGGTTATATAAGATCACTGTGTGTTCGTTTTGTAGCTGCGATGCATATTAAATAACTCACATGAATTCACCATGTATCGATATGAGCTGCGATTTCTGTGGCCCAAATCTTTTGTTACCATAATTAAGGCGCACCCCTATTATGTTCCCAAGGTAGTGGATCTCTGGTTTATAGTGTGCCATTTTTCCTCACCCAGACGGAACTCACTTATTAAATTCAACATAGAAGAGCTTCGAGATAGTGGTGGTTCTCGTGACTGTAGTTCGTCCAGTTACAATTATGGCTGGCACCCCATCAAGTCCTGCTATCATGGAGTCAATAATTTGCCGCGGTATACCTGTAGCGGACTTTACTTCGAATGGCAGACGGTTGTGGACTCTATGTGATTTGATTTTGAGTATTCTTATGAATCTTCATCTCGTTTCAATGTAGATATGCATCGGCCAGGTTGGTCTACCTGAATAGAGAGCCCCTACTGAGTTTTGTGAAATTTTTTCTATTGGCAGAGAGTCGAGTGGCACTGGTCGCTTTCACGGTACATAGTTTAACATCTGTGTACAGCATCCACGTCTCAGAGCGAATGCATTTATGAAGCGTGTTCTAAAGTAAGCGATATGTTCAGTGCTGTCGTTTGCTAATTTTGCCGTTGCATGTCGATATTGTACTGATCTTCGAGTGACGGTAGTCTGGCTTTTGCCTACCATTCGTGTCCTAGCAGACACCGACTGTCTAGCGGTAATCCTCATTTTGTCGGTGCGCAATATCGATCGACAGCCGGCATTGCTGCTATACACAAAGCATGCATGCAGCTGACGATCAAATGTTTGGATTTGAGATAAAGTGCTTCGCAGTGATTGATGCAACCCTTACAGGGTTTTCTGCGCTTCTGAACGAGGCCACCGATTGTGGTCTTGTTAATGAAGTCAACTAATGTCTCAGGAGCTGCTGTTCTTTGTGAGCTTCTTGCGCCGTAAATAGGCCGTTTTCCGAAGGCATTGGAGGCAAATGCGATATATTCTCGTATGCCTGGTGATGCTGTAGTATTTGAGTTCAGAAGAGGGAAACAATCAAACCGCAAAACTCACTCGTGAAGACGCTGTTTTCTACAGTCCGGTTCATCGCTGATCCCTCTTTTCTCCAGGAGTCGTCATCAATGATTGCAGTGGGCGGCTGAGGATGGTCATCTACTCCGACGTTGTGCTGCCAGCAGAGCTGCAACAGCGCCTATTTAAACAAAGTGGACGGCACTCGACATATAACAAAATACAAAAAGGAAATTTTCTTACATCAATAAAACCTCCCTTTGGTATCGGCTGACGCATTCGATTTCCAGTTGCTACATTCCTCTGATGCGTATCGGGACCAAGGGATGGCTCGCGGTGTGTAGCCGATGTACAAGTCTTTACCCTCTTGAGCGAGTGCCATTTAAGCAACCCTGGATGCACGGAAGGCTAGATGGCCTGGATGACCATTATTCCAGACTCGGTTACAATACCGTTTACGCAGGGTAGTGCGCAACCTTCTACTACCTCAATCCCATATTTTTAATGCAGTTGGACTCATCACATCAGCGCACGCGTCACAACAAACAACGCAACAAACGAATTTCTTGTTCTGAGCTCCACTCCTGAGCTTAGATGAGTTTTCTTCGTCTAACATGTTGACCGCCTCATGACCCGCTTCCACTCTTTTCAGAGTCCATGCTTCTCCGAAACAAATCATGAAGTTTGTCTCATTGTGCTGTCTTCCCTCCGCATATTTCACCCTCCGTGCGCGTAGCCCGCTGATCTCACATGTGCTCTTCAAATATTGCCCAACCCTTTCCTGACATGACCCCACTTATAGGTGCTTCTTCAGTAATATGAAATTTCGTGACAGATAGACAGAAATACTGGCAAACAGTGAGGTGCGAGCCTATATGTATAGTAGGAATTGTGATACTTGTGATACGGAACCAATGATGCCTTTCAGTGATAAATTTGTTTGCGTGCATTGTACAACCTTTTTCAAGGGAATCATATCTGGACGGCTTGTCGTAATGGATAGCAAGTTCGATGACGAACGAAACAAGTAAGAATTCTATGTATAGATCAGAGTCATTTTGATCTAATCGTTATTCTTAAGGCATGTACTAAAAAAAATCGCCGAGACTGCACATCATCATTTGCGAGTTGCGATCAACTCAGGATTGCTTTTGTTAGAGAAGCCTTACCAGTTGAAGAACTTGACGTCAGTTTATTTATATTGCAGTACAGTACATGCAGTACAGTACATGTGTGGTGAACTCGGCTTATACTTTGATTTTATTGAAGCTTTCAGCTCTGAAGACTAGAATATAATTCTCTTACGAATATCTCGAACACGACACTGTAGGCAATAATCACATACATAATACATGAGTATAAGGTTGAGCAAAACCAATATCATACCCATCGTCTTCGAGCGTGGCAGGGGGAAGGTATCAATGCTGTTGCCGAAGATATCGGTAATTTTTCGCTGAAAGCACTGTCGGCCGTTCAATTGTCAACGGTTGGTTAAGTAAGGGCACGCTAGATTTCGCAAGTGCACTACAGACGATAGTGCATGTAGATTTTGCATAGGAAATTCGTCAAAAATTTACGGAACTCGGCTAGTCCTAGGCTGCTCATCTACTGTACATCTGAGCCTTGCACTCTCCCTGATTGCCATTCCGCACGCTAATGCCGTTTGCGAGGAGAAAGGGTGAGCACTAGATGTTTGAAGTTTCTTGGAGACAAAAGCAAAGTTTCTCGGTATCAATCTTGTCTATGAGATGTCTTCTTATGCGGTTTTTCCAATGTGTATGTGTTCTACAAAACAATTCGAAGGAGTTGCGTGTATGATGGTGCCCCATTTCCCCTTACACTGTGTTCACCCGAAAAAAATCCAAAATATAGAAAATAATATATCAAGTACACACATAAAATTAGGGCAGGGTGGGACGTGTCGAGTTCCTCTCGTACAAGTACTAGAGCAATCACAGAGTGAAGTAGGTTGGGCTTATGTTAGTTGTTGTAGAAGATTGCTGACCAAGACAGTAACAGGTCACGCCGCTTCATCATCTATGCACTCGATATTGCATTCAAATGCCCGCGGACACAAAAGCAATTCTCACAACAGTTTCTACGACCCTCCACGGTCATCTCATCTCAAAATCGCGGGGTGACGTACCGCGCTGCTTAGCCAACGTCTCATTTTTCGTCGACGATAGGATCGCACTATCTCCGATAACGTACTGTCGTGAATTGTCTCAGTTATTATGTACCTTCACGATCGTGAAGAGGGTGTTGCCAGAGTTCAACGACGATCGGCCACGTGTTGACAACGCTGGATCGCTGGACAGATTGGTACACGGCCACGCGAGTCATGGAGGCGCATTACTCATCGGTATCCGCTGTTGTCATCAGGTGGCCAGCGCCACCATCGGTCGGTTGGTTGGTCGGTCCGTCGATCGGACGTTCAGTTGTCGGTTACGGCGTTCAATTCTGGAAGCACTCAATGTGGTCCAGCAATCCATTAACAGAGCTGCGTCGTTCACACGTAGGAGTTTAATAACTAACTACGGCAATCACAACTATCTATATTACAGAAAAGTTGCAAGAGATGCCTAAAGTCTTAGAATAATACACACACACATTTTCCCAGTCTCTTGAAGTGACGTGGTGCGCAAACCGCATATAAATTGGGCGATGATATCTTTCAAATTGTTTGTCTTTTTTGCATTCAAACTGGGTTTGCAAGTAAGTAAATATACCTGTTGGTAATGTGGTTCATGAGCTTCATGATGTGCAAGCAAAGCAGTGGAAAACTTCGTTTCAAAAAATGGAAACCAGTTTCAGTTACTACTCGGCTCACCACATCTTGTTACTGCACATTTTTTTTCAAGATGTTTGCAAATGGATTTTCCGGCCTGCTCTGATTTGAAGGTGTTTTCAGACTCGTCCGGTGCGAATCTCTCCCCTGTCAAGATAACGGTGTGGATTGTGGATGGTTCATGGCGCTCTATGCAGAGCGGTTCGTAAGAGATATGAGTTGGATGGTACGTTTTGCTCGAAACTAGCAGTCTCGGCATTCTATTTTAGACTTTCCGGACAGTGCAGTATCCCAAAGCACTTTGTGAGTCTAGTCGTGGGTATCGCCAAAGGTGATATCGAAGTTCTTGAAAGAAA